GCTTAGATTTTCTTTATGCTTTTTATTTGCTTTTCTTTTGTAGTACATACTGGGAATTGTTTCTGCTCAATTCTCCAGCTTACTAACTCATTCTTCAACAATGCCCATATCACCAATTAATTGCTAAATTTCTAAGAACTAATGGCTAAAATTTTATGGATAGATGCAGTATTTTCATGATTCTGAGGATTATCTATAGTTATTCTAAGGTCATGTTTGTTTGCTCTCTTTTTGGTATTTCTCTTTCCTCAGATGTAAATTTTTCCATTTAATGAACATCGTCCTTCAGTTCAAAGTGTTAACTTTCCCCAAATATTTGGTAATACTTTAACAGATGTTTGTGTTTTTGTAGTTGAGACTTCCTAATAACTTGTGATTGCTATCTGCAATTGCCTTCTTGCAGAGAATAGGCCTGTCTTGCTACTAAAGGAGGAAACTTAGGTTCCCTAGAAGCAAAAGTTGACATTAGGAATTCTTAATGTCAGTTATTTGTTGAGGCTCTCACTAGAAACTTCTGAGTAAAGGAAGCCAAATAGACCTGAGGAAAAAGCCAATGGTTCCCAAACTTTGCTACACATTAAAATCCTATGGTGAGCTTCTGAAAGTCCCAGCATTCAGAGGTGTGACATCAGCAGGATGGCAGAAAAAGAAAGCCCGAGGCTCTTCTTAACTCTTGGAGATACCAACTTAACAATGATATAAAGACAGTGTTGCCCTTGTGAGAACTCCAGAAACTGCTTGAGAGAATACAGCACCTCAGACAAGCACAGAGCCAAGAAGAATTTCATTGGAGCAAGTAGAAAAATCCAAATTCACTTAACTGCCATAGCTCATTTGCTTCCCGGCACAGCTCAGAGAAATTGGGAGAATACTGTCAACTTCCAGTTTATCCTTAGGAGGGAAAGAAAAAGGTGAAACATAAAAACCTATGTTCTGGCTTTTTTGAAGGACATCCAGCAGACTTGTTCCTATCTCACTGACTAGGAGCACTAATGGAAAAGGAAATAACACATTTTGGATGTCTGGGGACTGAGAACAATAGTTACTATAGCAGGTTACTATAGCATCAGAAAGATTGCAGTACCACAGAGAGACACCAGGAGAACTCCTGAGTAGAAAAAGATGAACCTTTTCAGCTAAAGGAAACACACAAGACCAGAGAAGATGCATTCCCAGAAAAGTTTGAGAGGCTGCCAGAATTTCTAACTAGGCTGATTGGCAAAAATCTTCTCCACAAAGACAGTCATAAAGACTGGGAGAGGTAGCTGTTTTTCAAAATGCTCAGAAATCAAAAAAGATAAGGCATACAGAGTAAAAGGGATTTATGGCTCGATCGAAGAAACAAATCTTCAGAGACTAAACCCAAAACAAATGGAAATGTATTAATTATTAAACAAGGAATTAGAAATAATCATCATAATGGTACTCAGTGAGCTAAAAGAGAACACACAAGACAAACAACATCAGGAGAAGGATGCATGAAAAAAGTGAATATCAAAAAAGAGGTAGAAACTATTAAAAAATAAATTATACAGAGACTCAAGTTGAAGAAAACAATAACTGAATTAAAAAATTCACTAGATGAGAACAACAGCAGGTTGTATCTAACAGAAGAAAGAATCAGTGAACTTCAAGACTGGTCATTTGAAATTATCAAACCAGAAAGGAAAAAATAAGGAAGAAAAGTGAAGAGAGCTTAAGGGACGTCATAAAAACATACTACAAAGGTGCAATAATCAAAATTATGATACTGGCATAGAGACAAATATATAGACCCAAGTGAATGGAATAGAGATCTCAGAAATAAATCCTCACATGTATGGAGAAATTATCTTTGACAAAAGTGCCATGACCATACAACAAAAAACAATAATCTCGTCTACAAACAGTAGTGAGAATACATGCAAAAGAATGAAGATGGGGGAAAACTTCATGACTTCGACTTTGGCAATATGACACCAAAGGCAAAGACACAAATATAGACAAATTAGACTACATCAATTTTTAAAATGTCTGCACAGCAAAAGAAACAAACAGAGTGAAAAGGCAACCCTTGGAATGGGAGAAAAAATTTGCAAAATATCTGATGAGAAGTTAATATCTAGAATATATAAAGAACCACAACTCAATAACAAACAAACAAACAAACAAAAAACCTACAAACACTTCAAACAAAAATCAGGCAAAAGACTTGAATAGACATTTCTGCAAAGAAAATATACAAATGACCAAGATGCACATCTATAATCATTACGGAAATGCAGATCTAAGCCACAATGAGATAACAACACAGGCCCATTAGAATGACCACTATCTAAAAACTAAAATAACAAGTGTTGGTGAGGATGTGGAGAAATTGGAACTTTTGGACACTGCTGGTGGGAATGCAAAATAGAGCAGACACTATGGAAAACACTTTGGAGGTTTCTCAAAAATTAAAGTTGAATTACTATGTAATCCAGCAATTCTATTTCTGGGTATATATCCAAAAGAATTGAGAGCTGGATCTTGAAGAGATATTTATACACGTATGTTTGTTGCAGTATTATTCACATAGCCCAGGGGTAGAAGAGGTCCAGATGTCCATCAGCAATGGAATGGATAAAGATAATGTAGTATAGATATACAAGAGAACATTATTTAGCTGCAAAAAAAGAAGAAACCCTGTTGCATGCTACAGTATGAATGAAGCTTAAGGACATTACGCTGATTGAAATAAGCCAGTCACAGCAGCACAAATACTATATAATTTGACTTCTATAAAGTATCTAAAGTAGTCAAATTCATAGAAACAAAGTAGAAAAATGGTTGCCAGGGACTAGGGGGAGGCAGACAAAGGGAATAGTTGTTCTATGGATATAGTACTTCAGTTTTACAAAATGAAAACATTCTAGAGATCTGTTACACAACAATGAGTATAGTTAACACTACTAAGCTGTACACTTAAAATGCTTAGAAGGCTAAATTTTATATTACATATTTTTACCAGTTTTTTTTTTAAGACTTAAAAAAAAAATCCTACACTCAAGTCACACTTCACACCAATTAGATCAGAATGTCTCAGAATGGGAATCAGGCACTAGTATTTTTTAAAGATTCCCAAGCACATGGTGGTACGCAACCTCTGAGATCACTTCCAGTGATCCCCACTTTCTGATATTTACATCTTTGTGTAATAATCTCTTGTCAAGTGTAAGCGAGACTTAATTGACTTGCTTCTGATGAATAGAATACAGCAGAGGTGATGGGATCTCACTTCCAAGATTAGGTTATAAGAAGAATGGCTTTCCTTCTTGCATGTTCTCTCTCATTCTGTTTGATCACTTGTCCCTGGGAAAGCCAGCTGTGGAGAAGCCCCCATAGGAAAAAAAAAAAAACAAAAAACCTGAAGCCTGACAACAGCTGTGTGAATAAACTTGGAAGCATATTTTTCTCTCACCCATTTCATGAGAGATTTTATGTCAGATGCATAAAGCTAAGCTATACTCAGATTCCTGGTCCATAGAAGTTATGAGATAACAAATATTTGTTGTTTTAAATGCTACATTTGGAAATGATTTGTTAAGCAAAATGGGGGAAATCATACACCAGATTATACCAATTGCAGCAAAGTTCAGGAACAATGAACCTAGGCAAATATGTACTTTTGGAGAACTTTAAAATCTGTTCTTGAGTGTGCAGGAGAATCTGGAGCATAAACTGCATCATAAAGGTTGTACAACCAGAGGCAAATGGACTAAACGATTAGACACATCAGTCAGTGGCGGCAGAAGCTGTCCAGAGGGAGGGTGGAGGAAGGCAAAACCTTTCTAGCATCCCCAGGTAGGTGCTTGTCAACAGGATAAGGCTCTTTAATACCTGTGGATGTTGGTAGTTAGCTAAAAAGCAGCAGCTGGGAGATATGTGCACCAGCCTGGTAATAGGTTCTGATGGGGACAACAAGAGCATCTTTTCACAAGATATACTTTAGCCTTTATAAAGGTAATGTAAAAGAGATGAGGCAAAGTTCTGGATGAGATATGCTAACAGAAGGAATTCTGAGCAGGAGTTTCCCCATTCTTCATGGGTGTCATCAACTACCCCAGAAATTTTCTCATATGCCTTTGTAACTCAGGTGCCCACATTTATTGTTCCTTCATTTGGGAAGACATCTCTGTTCCTTACTGACTTAGTCAAGAGCTAGGATTTGTCTGACCATTCTTACAGTGGTACTCCAAATAGTCAATCCAGAAGTCTCTCCTGCTCCCAGCACTGCCATTCCTGGACTTGGAGCACCTTTAGAAGTACTCCATATCTTTTTGTAGCAATCTTTACTTACACATGTTGGCTTATGCTTTCCTTTTTCAACTCTGAACTGTTTGTGTCTTACCTTCCTGAGATACACATAATTTCTTGTCCGTTGAGGATTCCACTTTTGTTTTCTAGTTAAGTTACGGATTTTCCTGTTACTTTTTTTTTTTTTTTTTAGAGTTAGAGTTTCACTCTGTTGCCCAGACTGGAGTGCAGTGGCCGCTCCGGCCACTGCAGCCTCAACCTGCTGGGCTCCGGTGATCCTTCTGCCTCAGCCTTCCAAGTGGCCAGAATTACAGTCATGCGCTACCACACCTGACTGATTTTTTGATTTATTGTAGAGATGAGGTCTCGCTGCCCAGGCGGGTCTCGAACCCGCCGGCTCAGGCAATCCACTCACCTCAGCCTCCCAAAGGTGCGGGATTACAGGCTGAGCCACCAAGCCCAGCCTCCTGTTACTTTTGCGTCTTCATTTCAAAGGTTTAGGGATAGAAAGAGAAGCTGCAATCTCTGCTTAGTTCAACATTTTGAACCACAGTCTGTACAATTTTGACCAGAACTAAAGAATGCATGAGAAGTTTATCACCGTTAAATGGTATTCACTCAAATTTGAAAGTTATAAACATTTACATATCTGTTGTCAAAGATATAATAAATGCTATTTTATTAAAAGGCTATTTTGAAATTGGTTTTCAAAGTCTTTTTTTCAGTTTTGTATTAGGTGCTGTTTCTCCTGCTGTTGTTGTCCCTTCCATGCTGCTTCTGCAAGAAGCTGGATATGGTGTTGAGAAAGGCATTCCAACCTTACTAGTAGCTGCTAGCAGCTTGGATGATATCCTGGCTATCACTGGATTCAATACATGCTTGAATATAGTCTTCTCCTCAGGTAAAAAAGAAAATACAACCACCACCAGATTATTCATGACATTTTTGTTAGTTCTTCAATCAGGGTTTCTGGCTTTACTTTTTCATTTATTAATTAAGACTTTTCAATTTAATATATTTTTATTCTTTATAGAAAGCTCATTCTAGACCAGGGAATAAATTTCAATACCTTGAGAAACCACCACTTAACACAAATGATTTCATTTTAATAACCCCATGCTTTAATTATTTGTTAAACCATATTGTTACTATATACCTGCTTACATGACTTGGGAATTTTATCAGTTTTCATTAGAATATTTAAAGCAGTGGTATTATTAGTGCTACTAATATTTTAATAGGTATTTTTGAAATGTACCTTTTTTACCTTCCTAATAACTCTATTAAAAGATAATTGAAATACTTAGAGCTGGGACAGAAATGTACCTTTTTGGTAGTGTTGGGACAAATTACTATACCAGGTAATTCCTGGTTTTAAATGTCACTGCAGAAATGTTTCTAATACTTTAATTATCTGCAGTGTTTGCAATTTAGTCTTTTGTATCATTGAAGCACCTAAGTATTTTTTTAGTTGAAAAGTAATATAGTTTCTCTTAAAATCAGAAAATATAAATAAATAGGAAAAAAAGGGAAATGATAAATATAAAATCTGCAATAGTCACACCCAGAAGAAAAGAATCGTTTCTTTCTGAACTCTGATGTAAATCACCCACTCTTCTCCCTTCTCCTTTAATTTTTTTCCGCAATGTTCCCTTGTTTTCAATGTGCACTTCTTTCACCTTGGTTACATTTATTTCTCCTTTATTCTTTTTGTTGCTATTGAAAGTGGGATTGTTTCCTTAATTTTCTTTTCTGATTTTTCACTGTTAGTGTATGAAAAACAACAGATTTTTCCATGTTGATTTGGTATCCTGCAACTCTGTTTATTCTAACAGTTTCTAGTGGCAATATTAGGGTTTTCTACATATAAGATCATGCCATCTGTGAAGAGAGATCATTTAACTTTCTTCTTCCAATTTAGATATCTTTTACTTCTTTTTCTTATCTAGTTTCTCTGGCTAGGAATTCCAATACCATGAGAATAGAAGTAGAGAGAGTGGGCAACCTTGCCTTTTTTTTTTGAGTTGGAGTCTCACTGTCACCCAGACTGGTGTGCAGTGGCACACTCCCAGCCACCGCAGCCTCGACCTGCTGGGCTCTGGTGATTCTTACACCTCAGCCTTCCGAGTAGCCAGAACTACAGGCACACACTACCACGCCTGGCTAGTTTTTTGATTTATTGTAGAGATGAGGGCTCGCCACGTTGCCCAGGCGGGTCTCAAACTGGTGGACCCAGCCAATCCACTCACCTTGGCCTCCCGAAGTGCTGGGATTACAGGCTGAGCCACTGAGCCCCGCCACCTTATTCCTGATCTTAGAAAAAAACTTTTAGTTTTTCACCACTAAGTATGATGTTGGCTGTGGGAATTTTCATATATAGCCTTTATCGTGTGGAGGTAATTTGCTTCTGTTCCTGGTTTGCTGAGTGTTTTTATCATGAAAGGGTACTAGATTTGTCAAATGCTGTTTCTGTCCATTTTATTAATGTGATGCATTTCATTGAGTGATTTCTGCATGTTGAACCCATATAAAAATCAATTTGTATTCCCTTTGCATCTCAGGAATAAATTTTACTTTGGTTGTGGTATATAATACTATTCGTGTGCATGAATATAATACTATTCATGTGTTGAATTATTTGCTAGTATTGCATTAAGGATTTTGCTTATTTATCAGTGATACTGGTATGTTGTTTTCTTATAGTGTCTTTGTCTGGCTTTGATACAGGGTAATGCTTGCATCATAAAATGAGTTTGAAAATGTGACTTTCTCTTTCATTTTTTAGAAGAGTTGGAGAATAATTGATGTTAATTCTTTAAATATTTGGTAGAATTCTATAGTGAAGCCATCTGGTCCTGGGCTCTTCTTTTTTAGGAGGCTTTTGATTCCTGATTCAGTTAATAGTTATAGGTCTATACAGATTTTTTGTTTCATGATTCAGTCTTAGTGGGTTTCTGTTATTAGAAATTTGTTAATTTATCCTAGGTTATTCAATTTGTCAGTGTAATTATTCATACTAAACTCCTAAAATCCTTTTTTATTTTCTGTAGCATCAGTTGTAATATCTCCTCTTTCATATCTGAAAGAAGTTGAATATTTATTTTTTCCTTAGGTAGTCTGGCTAAGGGTTTGTCAATTTTGTTGAACTTTCAAACAACTACTGCTTTTACTGGCTTTTTTCTAATCTCTCTTTTAGTTCTGCTTCAGCCTTTATGATGTCCTTGTTTCTGCTAACATTGGGTTAAGTTTATTCTTCTTCTCTAGTTCCTTGAGATGTAAACGTAGGTTGTTGATTTGACATCTTTCTTCTTTTTTAATGTAGATATTTACTGTTATAAACTTCCCTCTTTATATTGCTTTCACTGTATCTCATAAGTTTTAGTCTGTTATGTTTCCATTTTTATTTGTCTCAAGATATTTTCTAATTTCCCTTGTGATCTCTTCTTTGACACAGTATTGGTCAAGATTCTCCAGAGGGACAGAACCAATCAGAGATATATATATACAAATTTATTAGAAGGAATTGGCTCACATAATTGCAAAGGTGATGTCCTGGCTATCTACAAGCTGGAGAATGAGAGACGCATGTAGTAGAGCTGCCAGGGAAGCTAGTGACATAGCTGAGTCCAGCTGAAAGTCTCAAAATCAGGGAAGCTGATGGTGTAAGCTCCAGTCTGAGGCTGAAGGCCTAGGAGGCCCTGAGAGGCAGCTGCTGTAAGTCCCAGTGTCCAAAGGTCAAAGAACCTGGAGTCTGTTGTTCAAAGAAAGAAGAAAAAAAGGCCTACCCCTCCAGAAGGGAGAGAAAGCTCACCAAATAGAAATCCAAGCAAGCTGAGTGTCCCTCTTCTTCAGCCTTCTTTTTTCTAGCCATGCCCACAACCAACTGGATGGTGCCTGCTTACATTAAGGGCAAGTCTTCCTCTTTCAATCCACTGACCCTCGTGTCAATCTCCTCTGGCACACCACCTTTATAAATATAGCCAGAAACACGCTTCACCAACCCTCTAGGTATCCCTCATTCCAGTCAAATTGACACCTAATATTAACCATTACAGACCCATTGGTTGTTTAAGAGTGTATTATTTTAATTTCCATATATTTATTGTTTTTCCTGTTTCCTTCTGTAGATTTCTAGTTTCATTTCATTCTGGTCAGAAAAGATACTTGGTATGAGTTCAGTCTTATTAATTTGTTAAGACTTGCTTTGTGGCCTAGCATGTCATCTTTCCTGGAGAAAGTTTTTATGCACTTAAAATGAATGTGTGTTTTGCTATTATTGGGTGAAGTGTTCTATATATGTCAGTTAGGTCTAATTGTTCTATAAAATCAAGTCATTGGTTTTCTAAGTGATCTTCTGTTAGGTTGTTCTATTATTGAATGTGGGGGGGGTTGAAGTTTTCAAGTATTATGGTGTTACAGTCTGTGTCTCCCTTCACTTCTATCAATGTTTGCTTTGAATGTTTAGGTGCTCTTCTGTTAGGTGCATGTATTTTTTTTTTTTTTGAATTGGCTTCTCACTCTGTCACCCAGACTGGAGTGCAGTGGCCGCTCCCGGCCACCGCAGCCTCGCCTACTGGGCTCCAGGGATATTACCGCTTCAGCCTTCCAAGTAGCTGGAATTACAGGCATGCACCACCATGCCCGGCTGATTTTTTGATTAATTGTAGAGATGAGGTCTCGCAGCCCAGGCGGGTCTCGAACCCGCGGGCTCAGGCAATTCACTCACCTCAGCCTCCCAAAGGCACGGGATTACAGGCTGAGCCACCGAGAGGTGCATGTATTTTTATAATTGTTATATCTGCCTTGTCAATGGCTCTTTTGTCACAATGTCCTTGTCTCTTGTGACAGTATTTGACTTACAGGCTATTTTGTCTAAGTATGGTCATCCTTGCTCTCTTTTAGTTTTACCCTTCGCATGAAATACCTTTTTCCATTCTTTCACTTTCAGCCCTTGTGTTTTCAGACCTAAAGTGAGTCACAAACAGCATATATTTGGATTTTACTTTTTATCGATTTAGTGAATCTATGTCTTTTGATTCAGGAATTAATTTATTTACATTTAAAGTAATTACTAATAGGGAAGGACTTGCTATTGTCATTTTGTTAATTGTTTTCTGGATGTCTTGTCCCTCTTTTCCTCTATTGCTGCTTTCTTTTGTGTTTCATTGCTTTTTGTAGAGACATGCTTTGATTCCTTTCTCATTTTTATTCATGCATCTTCTATAGTTTTTTTCTTTGTGGTTACTATGGAATTGCATTAAGAACGCAACATTCTATTTTAAACCAATAACAACTTAACTTCAATCACATACAAAACTCTACTTCTTTATATCATCTCACTTTGATATGTGTCACAAGTTAAATCATTTTATATTGTTTATTCATTCACATAATTTAATGAAGTAATCTTATGCCTTTATCTTTTAAATTTTATACTTGTTTTAAAAATTATTTACTCACCACCACTACAGTAATAGAGGGTTCTGTGTTCACCTATATATTTACCTTTACCAGAGAATTTTATATCTTGAATGCTTTTGTGTTGCTATTTAATGTGCTTTCATTTCCTCTTGAAGGATTCCATTTAAAATTTTCTGTAAGGTAGATCTAGTGGTGATAAAATCCCTGAGTTTTTATTTATCTGTGAAAGTCTTTGTCCTTCATTTTTGAGGGAGCGCTTTACTGGATATACTGTTCTTGGATGGCAGTTTTTTTCTTCCAGCACTTTGAATATGTCATACTATGTCCTTCTGGCCTGTAAGGGTTTTGCTGAGAATTCCACTGATAATCTTATGGCAGCTCCTTTATATGTAACAAGTTGCTTTTCTCTTGTTGCTTTCAAGATTTTGTCTTTGACTTTTGATAGTTTGGTTAAAATATATCTCATTGTAGGACTTTGGTGGATTATCCTACTTGGAGTTCTTTTAGATTTTTGAATTTGTATATCATTTCCTTCCTCAAATTTGAGAAGTTTTGGGTCATTATTTTTTTCAACTGACTGTTTTCCCCTCTATCTTTCTCTTCCCTTCCTAGCGCTTCCATAATGTGTACCTTGGTCTGGCTCTCATTTACTTTCCGTTTTGCTCTTCTGACTACTATTTTCAAATGACCTATCTTAAATGTCACAGATTCCTTCTTCTGCAGTTAAACCCTTTAGTGAATTTTTAAATTTAATTGTTGTATTCTTTAACTCCAGAGTTTCTGTATGGTTCTCATACATATATTTTTTTCTGTCCCTTTGTTGATGTTTTCATTTTGTTCATGCTTAGTTCCTGATTTCATTTAGTTGTCCATTTCTTCTTTAAAACAGTTATTTTGAATTATTTGTCAGGTACTTTATAGAGCTCTACTTCCTTAGGGTTGGTTTCTGGAGATTATTTTGCTCCTTTAATTTTATCTTTAGGTTTCACTGTTTCTTCTTATGCCTTGTATTTGTGTGTGTGTGTGTGTGTGTGTGTGTGTGTGTGTGTGTGTGTGTGTGTGTGTGTCGGAGGGAGTTTGGGCTGTTGAAAGAATTGCCATCTCTCCCAGTTTTTATCAGCCAACTTCATACAGAAAACCTTCATCATTCACCCTGGCAAAAAGATTCTGGGGACTTCTCAAACCTTTTCTGGGGATGCATCTTTGGGTTTATACATTCGATATCCCAATAAGAGGTTTGCCAGTTTCTTTTTTCTAGAGCTCTTGCTCCATCTTGTGTCTATCTGTAGTACTACAGAGTATCTGGTGTTACACCATGACCCTGACCTCTCCTTTGTTCTCAGTGCTGACCCGCAGGCATCTCAACCCCAGGTTGGAAGTCAGGTGAAACTGAGACCAGTGCCTCAGGCAACCTTCCCAAAATGTTCCAGTTTTCTCTTTCCATCCCAATGGAGAAGCCACAAGTTGGGTGTTTTCTCCCAGTCCACAGACAGTATCAGTTTTTGGGAAGGGTCATCGTGAGTATAATGCAATAGCTTTTCTTATTTGTTCAGTTTCGCTGTTCTTGGCTTGGCACTTGCCTATAGTACTGCAACTTATTATGGTGTATGGAGTTCCGTAAGGGCTTTTGGGCCATATATTGTTGTTCAGTTGGTTTTCCTATGGGGACTAAATGTTTGAGGCTTCGCATTCCACCATCTGGCTGGCATCACTCTGTTTCTATTATTTTTAATGGAAAAATATTTCTAAAAATATACTTACGTATTTTAGTGAATCTAATTATTTTTGTGACTTGAGTTGTTTTTTTGGTTTACTTTTGTTTTTTGCTTATTGCACTGAGCTACAAGAATGGATATATAAAATATATTGGAATTTCAATTGACCCTTGGATATTTCTAGGATTGACTCTGAAATAAAATGTTTTATGTTGTTGTTATTACCTTATTATTTTTGTGCTAAAATCACTTATTTTTATAATAGTACATCAGAGAAGAATCATTAATACCGTCCTCACCAGCCATGTGCTCAGTGCCACAGGAGCTCCCTTGTAGGTTTTTTTTCATTCTTCTCACTTACTTGTTCTTTTAGGCTGGGTGCGCAAGGTGGGGTACATTGTGGCTTGTTAACTCTTTGTTTTCTATACTATTTGTACAGTGGCTATTTCTGAATTGTGTGTGTATATATTAAATTATTTTAGAGTACATATTTAATTTATAAAATAGTTCTACTTATGTTTTCATATGTCTCTATTAAAAGTCCATTTTGCATATTTGTTCTATAACATGCTTACCTTTTTTTCTGAACCATCTAGATTTTACTTTCTGATGTGTAGTGTGTGTGAAAATATTTCCCTGTGAAATTTTTTTATTTTGTGCCTTTACAGGTGGTATACTTAATAATGTCCTATCCTCTTTACGGGATGTATGTGTTGGTTTGCTGGCAGGAACAGTTTTGGGATTTTTTGTTCAATATTTTCCATGTGGAGATCAGGTAACTTAAAAATTAATCTATTTTGTGGAAGTGTAGTATTAGACATTTCTTTCAAAAATTTGAGCTTTGGGAAGATCCATGGAATATAAAATTTAATACTTAACTCTCTTTCCCTAAAAGTAGCCTCTGATGCCTGCGCTGTGCTTAAAACTGAGCACAGTAGTGATACACTACTTTGACTGAAGTCTCTGCTTTTTGATTTGGCAAATATGGAATATCAGAAAAATGTACTTAATTTAGGATATCCCTCTGCATTAAATCATCCCTTTCTCCACTAATGTCTGACAATTCTTCCTGATCTTTGTTCTCTTAAACACTTTTGGGAGAGATAGTTTTCCACTTATCTCTGCATATTTTGACTTAAGTTCACTTCCATTCTCTTTTGACAGAGGCAACCTTATTAACTTAAACTTTTCCTGCCTTAAGGGCTGTGCACTTTTGCACTTCTGTAAATTTCATCCTAATTTACCTTTAACAATTATATTGACTAAGAGATATTCAAAATGTTATTTTTTAAGAATTCATTAGATATGTTGTATGGAACTTAAAGTTACCTGGGTCTCTCTTCTTCTTCACCTAAAGTAATAATGCGTTAACCATTTTACAGATATTAGTATCAGATGTGGCAGAAGATGAAACTTTAATTGAAAATGTTATTACTTGGTAGAAAGTCTGCTAAAATATTTACTGAGAAAGAAAATAAAAATTTTAGACATTATTTAATAAAACATTTAGAGACATGGTATCAAAGGGCCAAAAATAAATTATAATGTCGAATCATGTATTATATATTTAATATAAATTAATTTTTAAATACCTGTCTAATTCTAGAAAAAACTTCCATTGAAGAGAGCATTCCTTGTTTTGAGTTTGTGTGTTTCTGCTGTCTTAGGCAGCCAGCGTATTGGTTTACATGGATCTGGAGGATTATGCACATTAGTGTTGACTTTCATTGCAGGGACAAAATGGTCCAAAGAAAAGGTGAATATTTTTAATATATTATTTTTTTCAAAAAAAGATAAAATAACTGAATTTGTGTGCGTCTAGAGCGGACATTTAGAAAATTCCCTCATTCCAATTAGAAGGTGTTCCAAAAGTTTTTGTATCCTGAAGGAAACATCCAAATCAAGGAAATAAAATGTTAAGGAAAGGCACCTGGAAGTATGATAAAAGTTGAGTTATCACATCAGGCTTCTCTTTTTCCCAAGTTCTATGGAATATAATTCAATGATTTTTATCAATTTACTTATTTTATTAATTAAAACTGTACTTATACAATTAGTCCATGAAAACATGCTCATAAAATATTAAAACATATAGAATAAAGTGTAAAAGATTTCTTTATCCTTCACCACTTCCAAATATCAAACCCTTTTTCCAGAATTAATCATTTCTTTGAACCAGTCCTCTATTTATAGACATTTAGATCTTTGCCATTTTTTTGTTATTATAAGCAGTGCTATAATTCATGAACAGTCTTATTCATGTCTTTTTGCATATGTACATCTATAGAGATAGACTCCTAGAGATAAAATTGCTGGGTTAAGAAATGGTCGGTTTTTTATTTTGATGGGTACTGCCAAATTTATTTAACTCCTGCCAACAGTATAGGAGAATGCCTTATACTTTATTATCCCATCAATAACACTGGATATCATTGCTAGTTCTTTTTTTTTTTTTTCTTTTTTAACTACTGAATGGTCTCACCCATCTGATTCTTACATGTATATGTAAGAATATATTTCTTACAACAATATGGCATTATTTTTCTTTATTTACATTTCTCCGGTTAGTAGAAGAGTAAGTTTCTCTTCATACATTCTTTTTTAGTTAACTGTTGATCTTATTTGCCTACTTAATTCTAATTTATAGAGTTTCTCTCTATACTAGGACTATTGATCCTTTATATATATTTATAGCATATAAGTTTTGTTTATCCACAACAGTTTATAATGTCTTATGTATGGAAGTAAAATTCCTATGGTCAAACATGTCAGTTTTTCCTTTTTGGCTATGGATTCTGTTTCTTGTTTAAGAAGCTGTTTATGGATTCTGTATCTTGTTTAAGAAATTGTTTAAGGAGATTATAATACTATAAACATTATACAGATATACTATTTTCTATGTTATCATCTAATACTTTGGTAGTTTTTGTTAATTTATTTAGCATTTGTATTTGTTGCTTTAATCCATCTGGAATTTATCTTTGTAACACTGTGAGGTAAGGATGTGTGTGTGTGTGTGTGTGTGTGTATGTCTACATAAGTGTATGTATTCATAGATACATATATACTTGCATATAATAGATATGCACATACATATAGATGCATATAAACTGGATAATCAGTTTTTACCAAATTATTTCTTGACTAACCTATTAATTATTCCATTATTTTAAATGCTTCTTTTAACATAAACTGAACTCTTACATATATATCTATGTCCTGAAATCTGTTTAATCCTGCTTATCTATTTCAATACCACTCTGTTATAAATCACTGCAATTTTATGTTTCAAAATCAAACAAAGAAGACAGAATCTCATGTACTTCTTTCTAAAGTATTTCTTGGCTGTTCCTACCCATATTCTTTCTCAGATAAATTTAAGAATCACCTTGAGAAGTTCCCTGCCCAAAAGTCATAGTGGCATTTTGTTTAGTATTCCTAAACCAAATTATGATTAATAATCATTTTTAAAAGTACTTGAATGAAATCCAATTAGATAAATAAAATGAAAACTACTAGAATTTTTTTTAAATGATAAAGGAGATAAAACAAATTAGAATAAATAGGTTTTAAATATTAAAAGTAACAAATAGGATAGTATGCTATAGCACTGTTTTTCTTTGGTTTTCCTTTTTCAACTTTACATTTATAAATGGCAATCAGAAAATACAGTCATAAGGAAAAGTTATAAAGGTAGTTTATGCCACAAGTAAGGGACATCAAAGTTCTTATGTATTTTCTGGGGGGGGGAGGAGCGGAGATAAGCCCTCACAGACTTAAACCTCTTCATCCAAATTCCTGTACAGACTACAGAAGTGCCAGAGTACTGTTATGCCAAGAGTGGCCTTTTCTATAACCTTTTAACAGGGGAAATGGCACAAGGAGGGATTCATTTCCGGAAAGGGAAGGTAGGCAGGCAACCAAGTAAGAATCTAATATATGCTTTTGGTTTAATTTTAAGGAAAACGTACCTTTGAAATATTCAACATAGGTCCTTTGAAAGTAAGCCTAACAAAAAATTTTTCTAGTAGCTTATGACATATCAGGATTTACTTTCATGGGTTTGGGTTCCAGGATAATTGTTAGTAGACGTCTTCCCAACTCCCTTCTGATGAACCCAGATGTTTGCATGGGTTCATGGGTATTTTCTCATCAGACTTGATGTAGTTCTATCTGTATTCAGTTAACTTACAAACAAAATCTAGAACTCTTACTAAACATGTTGAACCCCAAGGACCTCACTTATTCTATGACAAAATGACCAAACAGTATTGCTTATTTCCTCTTTTATAGGTTTTTTTCCTCCTTACCTCCCCCTCCCTTCCTCCCTTCCTTCCTTCCTTTCTTTCTTTGAGTCAGGGTCTTACTATGTTGTCTAGGCTGGAGTGCAGTGTTACAATCACAGCTCACTGCAGCCTCGAACTCCTGGGGTCAAGTGATCTTCCCGCCTTAGCCTCCTGAGTACTGGGACGACAGACATGCACCACCATGCTCAGCTATTTTTTCTATTTTTTTGTAGAGATAAGGTCTCACTCTGTTGCCTACGCTGGTCTCGAACTCCTGGGCTCAAGCAACTCTCTAGCCTCACCTTCCCAAAGTGCTAGGATTATAGGTGTGAGCCCCTACACTGGTCCTATAGGTTTCTTTTAATCAAATTATACCTAACTGAGTAAAAAAATTAATCTGTTTAATTTTTAGTAATTAGGTTTTATCATTTCTCCTAAAAATAAAATATATCAAGTTTATTAAATTTTAAAAGTGACTTCAGCTGGGCACAGTGGCTCACACCTGTAATCCCAGTACATTGGGGGGCAGAGGTGAGAGGATTGCCTGAGTCCAGGTGTTCAAGACCTGGGCAACTTGGAGAGACCTCGTCTCCACAACGAAAATAAAAAAATTAGCAGAGTGTGGTGGTGCACGCCTGTGGTTCCAGCTACTTGGAAGGCTGAGGTGGAAGAATTACTTGAGCCCTGCAGGTTGGGGTAGCAGTGGCCATGAGCATACCACTGCACTCCAGCTGAGTGATAGAGTAAGACTCCTACTCAAAAAAACCCAAAAAGCAAAAAAAAAAAGTGACTTTAAATTTCTTAAATGTAATTCTTTTATGTACCACAATAACTATAAATGTATTTCTCTTTACTATAGATTAGCGTCCAAAAAATTATTACAAATGCATGGAATGTTTTTCAACCACTACTTTTTGGTTTAGTTGGATCAGAAGTATCTGTTACATCTCTTGAGTCAAATGCTATTGGTAAGAATAATTAGAGCACAAAAAATATAAAATTCAAAAATGCTTAGGAAAATCATGAATATTTTTATTTACAATATATCTTTGAATGGCTACAAGGAGCTTCTTCAGAAATGCATGTTGATATAGTAACATATTTTTGCTCTTCTTTTACACTGTGTCTCTTTTTTGGTAAAGCAGAGACAGCCCTTAATATCTTCCCTGAATTATCTGAGGAAATAGAGATAAGATTTCTTTTCTGAGGGAAATATACATGCCATCAACACCTTTGAATACTTATGCAAAAAAGTATTTTAGTTCAGAATTGAATAAGTGTCATCTGGCATTTTTCATAGTAACTCCAGCATCAGCTAATCTCTTGTATTTTACATAGAAGCCTCAATTATATTTGTATTTTTTATTTTTTTATTTTAAAAATAAAGACATAAAGAGAAAATAACCTTAATTAAATGTTTTCAAAGCCCTTAGAAATCATATCTCAAATATTTTGTTATTTATGTTTGTTTTTATCTATCGTAGGCCTTTGTGTTGCTACCCTGAGTTTGGCATTATGTGTTCGAGTTTTAACCACATATGTATTGGTGTGTTTTGCTGGTTTTAGTTTTAAGGAGAAAATATTTATTGCTTTATCATGGATACCCAAAGCTACAGTCCAGGTAAAAATATCTTGTCTTTCTAAGATTTTAGTTTTGATGATTTTTAAAAAATTCTAAACAAAACATGTTACTCTACTCACAAAATGTGGAATATTAGCTTTGCCTTTAAAATATTCGATTGGTCGCCGGGCTCGGTGGCTCAGCCTGTAATCCCGCGCTTTGGGAGGCTGAGGTGAGTGGATAGCCTGAGCCCACGGGTTCGAGACACGCCTGGGCAACTTGGTGAGACCTCATCTCTATAATAAATCAAAAATTAGCTGGGCGTGGTAGCGCACTCCTGTAGTTCCAGCTACTTGGAAGACTGAGGCAGAAGGATCGCCGGAGCCCAGCTGGTCGAGGCTGCAGTGGCCCGGAGCATGCCACTGCACTCCAGTCTGGGCAACAGAGTGAGACTCCAACTCAAAAAAAAAAAAAAAAATTGGTAAATACATCAGTGTCAAAAATCATTTGCTTTTGTGAAACCATGTTTGAAAGGTAGTTAATTCACTAAGGACTTTCTACTTAATACATTTCTTTGATTTTTATTGACTGAATTTTGAGAGTGGAATATTTTATACATTCAGTGATACAATTTTATAGTCAATTTTTGGTTGTAAAACTACACTTGTTAATTGTAGAAAATTTAGAAAATCATACTCAAGTATTCAAGTACTAAGAGGAAAATAAAACTCATAACCCCACTACTCAGAATACATCACTGATAAATTTGGGGATGATAGTTATTTATTTTGTTTTTATGCCATTCTGTACTTTTCATTTTGATATCCCCAATTAAGTTTTTAAATTAAAACAAGCCAAAGACACTGTAAAAATAAAATAAAATATTGGTCATAACTATTTGTTAAAATTAATATAACCTTTTAAAATTTTAGTTTTAAAAGAAATTCTTCTGAAATTTAAAAGTAGTCCCAGCTACTGGAAGGCTGAAGCAGAAGAATCACTGGAGCCCAGCAGGTCGAGGCTGCGGTGGCCGGGAGTGGCCACTGCACTCCAATCTGGGTGACAGAGTGAGACTCCAACTCAAAAAAAAAAAAAGTATACTTTTAAAGACTTCTTCAATTTATGAAAATTTTTGTACTTTCCTAAAATATAAAATAAGAGTATGTCTGAAAATTGTATTTTTTATATTATAACTATTATAAAGTTAAATGTTATGATTTAAGTGGAGATACAATTTTTTTTCTTTGTTTTGTTTTTGTTTTTGAGTTGGAATCTCACTTGGTCACCCAGACTGGAGTGCAGTGGCCGCTCCCGGCCACCGCATGCTCGACCTGCTGGGCTCCGGCGATCCTTCCGCCTCAGCCTTCCAAGTAGCCGGAATCACAGGCATGCACTACCACGCCTGACTGATTTTTTGATTTATTGTAGAGATGAGGTCTCGCTGCCCAGGCAGGTCTCGAACCCGCGGGCTCAGGCAATCCACTCACCTCAGCCTCCCAAAGGCGCGGGATTACAGGCTGAGCCACCGAGCCCAGCTGGAGATACAATTTTTTTAAAAAACTTCTTCCCTACCCCTGCTACTCACTTCACCACACAAATGCACCTATGTTATTTGTAATTATACATTTATTTGTATGATTAATTAATGACTTAATCTCCCAATAAACTATATAGGAAGGACAAGGACAGTATCTGGTTGTTGTTGTTTTTTTCATCATTTTTATCTAACACTTAACACAGTGCCTGGCAGGAGGTGTAAATATATTTTGCATGCCTATAAGAATGAATGAATAATTGAAAAGGGAACCCTTGTAATTTTACTCTTATTCAAGGATATTCTCCTGCTACTAAAAGCTGTTGCTACTTATTGTTAGACTGTTTAACTTAGCAATATAATACATTAATTTTCTGGAATTCTTTTCTCCATTGTAATTCAAAAAAAAGAAGCTCCTAAATTTCCATGTAACAAAATTCTTTATTATGACGGTTGGAAAAGCAGGTCCATAGGTCCAGACTGCCTGTCTAAAATATCATGTTACTTGCCTATAACCTTATTTCCTATTCTCACAGTGCCTCATTTTACAATGAGGTCTATATCTATTTCACAGCATGTTGTAAGAATTAAATGAGATAATCTATGTAAAGTGTGTAGCACAGTCTCTGGTGTGTGGTGGTGCTTACTTAGCAATGTTGTTATTTTTCTTAAAGTAATTTTTAAAATTTTTTATTTTATTTATTTATTATTTAAGATGAGTTCCTACTATGTTGCCCAGGCTTGTCTCAAACTCCTGGGCTCAAGCAATCCTCCTGCCTTGGCCTCTCAAAGAGCTGGGATTACAGGCATGAGCCAAAACATTTGGCCAAAGTAATATAAATAATAAAACAATAACTTTTTTGCTTTTAATGTCTGCTGTAGGGAATAATAAATCTACAAATGGAGTATCTATCCATTCTTCTGTTCCCACTCCTTCCAATAATATGTTTGCAATATTTTAAATTATTTCATAATTTTCATAAAGCAAGGGAAATAGAAAAGCAGATATGAGGAAAGAGACCACCTGCTCAAGTCCTGCAGTATTTTTCTGCCTCTGCCTGCACCTGTCTGTTGAGTCCAGGCTGTCTTCACAAAGAATATCAAGCTGGTTCCAGGGACTGGAAGACATAGAAAATTAATTATCTGTGCAAGTAGAGGTCACTACACCAGTAATAGATGATGATAATGTCACAAATGAGCAAGACCAACAAATGTTTTTTAAATTTAAACTCTTTTTTACCTTTATCCTCTTTCTCTGTTACTGAAATACAATTGGTTAAGCTTCAGTTATTTCTCTCATTCCTCAGTTTAGAGATACTGATGAAAATTAGCCTAGAAACAATGGCAGATTTTTTTTTTTTTTTTTAGTTGGAGTCCCACTCCGTTGCCAGGCTGGAGTGCAGTGGCATGTTCAAGGCCACCCCAGCGTCGACCTGCTGGGCTCAACTTTCCAAGTAGCCAGAACTACAGGTGTGTGCCACCATGCCTGGCTAATTTCTTGATTTGTAGAAATGAGGTCTCGCCAATTGTTCAGGCTGTTCTCAAATCTATGGGCTCAAGCAATCCCCTCACCTCAGCCTCCCAAAGTGCTGGAATTACAAGGTTAAGCCAGTGCGCCCAGCCACAATGGCAGATATTAAGAGGGTAAATAAAGAATTTAATTCACAAATGTTAGATCAGTTTGCCAATTGAATTTGTTTGAAGAAACATATTAAATCTCAACCACTAGGTAGAAGTAATTGATTACCTAATAGTAGTTCTCACATAATAGGGTTGTTATGAGGATTAAATGAAGTAATCACTGGAAAGGTTTAAGAATGGTACCTGCCATATGACAAATGCTGTATAACTGTGTAAATATTATTAATAGCTTCATTAGTATTATCATCATCTCCTAAAAGGCAGTGACTTTTTGTCAGTTCTTTTATGTTCAAATCCTCTTCTAAACTGTAAGACTCTTTAAAGTTGGTTTTCTGCCTACTTTTTATCTTTTTTTTCCTAGCACCTCCCACACTGACTTGTGTTCAGTAAATAAAAAGTTATTATATAAAACTTTAATTGTTGATTTAGGAGCTTGAATTGAGGGGTTTTTCACCATAATGTTTCATGTCAGAGGTAATGTTTTCACCAATATGTTGTTACTGTGCAACTGCATAGACGATATATATTTGTATTTAATCCCTAAAATTTTTAAGACAATTTCAGGCCTAGATTAATAAATACAAAGAAAGAGGGTTAGCAAGAAATTTACTTTAGGTTATTAAAAACAAATATGATAGAAGATAACTGGGGGAAAATATCTGTGACCCAGTAGGGTCATCTAAAGCAAGAAATTTAAAGGAATTCATCCTCAGACTGGCAGGGAAGGAGTGAGTTAAGGGAGAAACTTACTATTACCTAAATACCTACTATGTGCCAGGTGTTCTTTACATTCTCATATTTAATTCTCACAACTATCCAGTGAGGTACATATTTTGTTGTTCATTTTACAAGTATGTAATTAGAAGTTTAAAGATCTGGAAGCACTTGTACAAAATCACTTGCATGGTTGCAGCAAAAACAGAATTCAAACCCAGTTTGTTAGATACGAAGCCTCTTGTCAGTTCTGCTGTAACACACAACTACCAAAGTAGGAAGAACAATAAGAAAAGCAACAAATCCTAAGAAACATGAGAAACTTTAGTATTTTATGTTGTCTTATTACAGCCAGGGACCTAGGAATGCGTGGTAAAGGCAACTAAGCAAAACTGGTTCAATTAGAACTCCTGCTGTTCTGAGGATACATGAGCACTCAAAAGAGGTGTTTAAGGAGGGAAAAATTCAGAGAACAAGAGTATAAAAACAGCCAAAATGTCTGCATGCTGATTTGTCACTATTGCACTCTTCCTCCATATATGTTTGCTGGGAAAAACATGGAATTGATGAGTAATTTGCAAAATTACTCAGCACTTTTAGTCTTGTCCTTCTTAGTAGTTAGTAGATTTTATTTTAGCAGAGTCATTTACTTTCATGCTACATTAACTCGTTTTAACATTTTTATTTATTTCCCATTTCCCCCCCTAAATGCAGGCTGTATTAGGTCCGTTGGTTCTAGAAAGAGCAAGACTCTCCACGCCCCAACTGGAATCATATTCGAAGGATGTGATGACAGTAGCATTTTTAGCCATCTTGATCACAGCTCCAAATGGAGCGCTACTTATTGGCATACTGGGGCCAAAAATACTTGCATGCCATGATGACCCAAGCAAATTAAAATTGCAATTGTCAGGATTCAAACATCATTAAAAAGTTTATTTGCCATCATTTGCCTGCTTCTTTTAATGAATTATCTCACATGACAAAAGTTTAAAGTACAATTATGTGGAGACTGTACATAGAACCCAGGCTTTAGTAAATATGTGATTTCACTACAGGGCTTTCCTCTGATTTTTTTAATTCCAACGTTAATTTAATAAAAACAGTATTAAATGGAATGCTTTCTTAGTGTTTATATATTTTAGGAACAGTAAATCTATAAATACCTTAGGAAAGTTTGAAGTAATCCCTCAGGCTAAATTTGATATCATAACACAAACAAAGGTTAATATAAAATTAAGCCAACCTGAATGACAGAAAGAAAAAACCTTAAGTATTAAATTTAGTAAGATAGCCTAAATTTCCACATAGGAATAGAACTCCCCATCACTTTAGTAACTCAGTTAAAAAATCACCAGAAAAATTAAAAAAAAAAAGATGGGAATAAAACACAGCATCTTTAACTGAGTCAACTAAATAGATTTTAAATTCTGGGTTTTGTTTTTGTGAGTCAGAGTCTCACTCTGTTGCCCAGGCTGGAGTGTAGTGGCAAGATCACAATGATCATGGCTCACAGCAGCCTCGACCTCCTGGGCTCAGGTGATCTTTCCACCTCAGCATCCCGAGTAGCTGGGACTACAGACCTATGCCACCATGCCCAGCAATTTTTTTTTATTTTTGTAAGGACGAGGTTTTGCTATGTTGCCCAGGCTGGTCTCAAACTCCTGGGCTCGAGCAATCCGCCCACCTCAGCCTCCCAAAGTTCTGGGATTACAAGTATGAGCCACAGTGGCCAGCCAAATTCTGCTTTTAATTAAGTAAAAGAACCAAAGTTAATCTTCCTTTATTTCTGCAATACCCTTAAAATAAATGACTGGTTTAGCAGGTTTTAGATGAAACACTATCTATAGTTTTTATTTACAGAAATAAAATTAAATCACAAAGAAATACACTATTTTTTTCAATAATATAAAAAGCCTAGTCATTATAGATAGCCTGCAGAAATAAAAGATGACTAGACTACTGTCTATATAAGATTTTCTTTTCCTTATTCACATATAATTACTTTTCAATTCTGGCTGATGAAATCTGCTACATTAACCTATAACCCAGGTCAGGTGCAGTGGCTAACGCCTGTAATTCCCAGCACTTTGAGAGGTCAAGGCAAGAGGATCGCTCAGACTCAAAGTATAGAGACCAGCCTGGGCAACTTGGCAGGATCTTGTCTCTACAATAAATTTTTTTAAAAATTAGTCGGGTGTGGTGACGTCCACCTGTGGTTCCAGCTACTTGGAAGGCTGAAGTGGAAGGATCACCTGAGCCCAGCAGCCTGAGGCTGTGGTGGCCATAAGTGTACCACTGCACTCCAGCCTGGGTGACAGAGTGAGACTCAAAACAACAACAACAAATAGAACCCATCATTCTTATTGAATGGCCTTCTAGAAATTGTTTAGACTTCTGTGGCAAAAGCCCAATGCAAGGACTGAACATTACTTTGGTTCCTCTTTTCTCTCTTCTACACAAGATATTAAAATAGCACAGAATATTAAATTTACACATAAATTTGCTAATTGAAGCAACTAAAATTTAAGGCAACTCAAACTATTATTTCTGTTAAAATGAGACCTTTCACTGAATATATCACCAAAACTGCCAAAAGTTCTAATACACTCAGATATCTCTGGGAAAAGATAAAATATCAACTGTTTAGTGACATTTTCTTCTATACTTTTACAGCACATCAAAGACTCCATTTTCAACTGTTGTCATTCTAGTATTCAAATTCTAAAAATTTAAACTGTGCTGCTGTTTAATATTTAAAGCATGAGGGGATATCATTTTCACTTATAAAAAAATAAAAATAGATTTACATTCACAAGATAGTATTTTACATTCACAAGAGAATTAGATTTTTATTTTTTATCTTTTTTTTTTGAGTCGGAGTCTCAGTCTGTTGCCCAGACTAGAGTGCAGCGGCCGCTCCCGGTCACCACAGCCTCGACCTGCTGAGCTCCGGCGATCCTTCTGCCTCAGCCTTCCAAGTAGCCGGAATTACAGGCGCGCGCTACCACGCCTGGCTGATTTTTTGATTTATTGTAGAGATGAGGTAGGTCTCGCCTGCCCAGGCGGGTCTCGAACCCGTGGGCTCAGGCAATCCACTCACCTCAGCCTCCCAAAGGCGCGGGATTACAGGCTGAGCCATCAAGCCCGGTTGAGAATTAGATTTTTAAAATAGAAAGTTGATTTTAATAAAATATAGATACTATAAATCATTTTCAAGAAGAGGAGCTTTTTTTTGATTAGGAGAAAATTGTACTATTCTTTTTATGCTTTAGAGAATTTTCTCTAGGTATTAAAATTAATGTTTTATCAATTATCATAACACTATAAGAAAAGAAATGGATTGACAGTAGCGGGAAACTGCCAGGATTGGCAGTAGTGGGAAGGGGGGAGGCACGCATCATCAACAAGGATACCTGCATAATGAACATTTGTATACCTAACCCTGAGTTGTACCCCACATCTTTAAAATAAAAAAATTAGAAGTTATAAAAATTAATGTTTTATATATTTAGTATACACTTAAATATTCTCCTTTTTGAAGCAGTGTTGCAGGTATTTAGTTTTCTGCTTATAAAAACTTTATATTTTATTTTTGTACTTTGCTGATATTTTTTTCTCAGAGTCTGTAAAACATTAAGGTGCTTTTATATTTTAATATTTTGGGGAGATTTTTTGTTTTCAAACCAATAATCTTAGACTAGCATGATGTTTGCCAGATCAGACATCTGCTTTGCACATAAGGCTCTAAGTTTCCTTTCCTTTTAAAATTTATTACTTAATTATTTATTTATTTTGAGTCGGAGTCTCACTGTGTTACCCAGGCTGGAGTGCAGTGGCATGATCACAGCTCACTGTAGTCGCAACCTCCTGGGCTCAAGCAATCCTCCTGCCTCAACCTCCCAAGTAGCAGGGACTACAGGTGTGTGCCATCACACCCGGCATATTTTTTTATTTTTTATAGAGATGAGGTTTACTATATTGCCCAGGCTTGTCTTGAACTCCTTGGCTCAAGCGATCCTCCAGCCTCAGCCTCCCAAAGTGCTGGGATTACAGACATAAGCCACAGTCTTAATATTTCTTTTATACTTTGCAATATTTTGCACCGTATTTAAGGTTTTCAATATTTAGATCTTTTTCATCAGTGAAGCACAAGTTTATTTGTGTGGTCCCTGGTCAATTTAAAACAGTTGAAACATCAGTAGTGCCATTAACTGCTCTCTGGGAAGCCTCTTTAAAGAGCTTGGTGGGTTGGTCATACAGCTACAGCTCTATCAATCATTTTTTTTTGAGTTGGAGTCTCACTCTGGGGCTCAGGCTGGAGTACAATGGTAAGCTCACAGCCACCACAGCTTCGGCCTGCTGGGTTCAGGTGATCCTTCTACCTCAGCCTTCCAAGTAGCGGAATTATAAGCACGTACCACCACACCCAGCTAATTTTTTGATTTATTGTAGAGATGAAGTCTCACCAATTTGCCCAGGCTTGTCTCAAATCCCTGGGCTCAGGCAATCCTCTCACCTTGGCTTCCCAAAGTGCTGAGATTACAGGGGTGAGCCACCACACCCAGCCAGCTTCATCAATCTTAGAGTTAAGAGACTCTGGAGACTCTTATGGACAAATATAACATATGAAGAAGTCCTGAATTACCAATTTCTGACAGTGTGCCATTGATTTTACCAGCAACAACAGGGTGCGTGGTTGAATAAGAGGAAACAGCCTCTCACCCAACATTTGCTTCTGCTTTTGAAAGGAACCAATGCCAACATGGTAGCAGTTAAAGTTCCTGACCTTGTACATGAATAGCAGGCTGCTATATGGGAACTTGTGGCTGTGCATTCAAATGTTGTTGAGGATTGTGGGTTCCTATAGCAGGTTTATACTGTGGAATGGTACAAACAGCGGTATGTGGTCCCACCGTGTTGTGTTACAATAAGGTGTGTTGACATGACTTGTGGAACCTGTGAAGAAGCTGGCCTCAGTACTAATTTGGTGGGAGTAGCTGGGCAGATTTTGGAATGGATGAAGTCTGGTACTCTAAGCAGTCTACTGATGACTTAATCTTAGCTGAGCAATTTGACTAGGAGAATACTTAGTAGCATGGTTCTCAATCTGTGGGATAGTGGCCATGAAGTTACCTGAAGGAGGTGCCAGCTGGTAGGGACTATTTCCAGGTTGGGCACAGCTCTTACACGTGCCATTCTTGGCAGATACTATCCTGGTTAAAGAACTGAGCCTGGGGCTCTTCGTTGCTCTTCTTCCCACTGGCCACAATTCTACCATTCATTTCTGAATGGTGACTGCTGTAGTTGCTTCTTCTGGAAAGGAGAGAAACACAAAATCAAACTTTGTTGTGGCCACTCTCCATCATAACCTTTGCAGTAGTGATTGTACCAAATGGAGAAAATTCTTTCCAGAGATATGATCATCAGTATTATCAGAATTTTTCATATGAATGTTAATACCCCATTATCTGGTGATCCTACACTACTTGATCTGTTCACATTTGCATTCCAGTTCCGTCTGCTGTTTTGGGAGCTTGACCAACCTTGTTTTCCATTGGGCTGCTTTCTGTTCATCTCATCTACAGCTTGCTGTGCATCTTCACGCCTTTCAAAGCACACAGCTCCAAAATGTTTGAGTTTTCCACTTTCATCATTCATTGCTTTCACACTGAAGGCAGATCCCAACTTATCATACTTATCATTCGAGGCACTCACCATCCGTGCCTTCTTCAAAAATCTTGATGTAAACATTGGTGAATTCTTTTGCCCTAGCTCCTGGTTGTTTAGGAGACTTAAATCATCCAGCGAATATGTTGCTATCATTTAGATTTAGAAGCATCCATTTCATTTTTTCCAACGGAACTTTCAGCTGCTTCTGTCACAAAATGTACAATTCCCTAACCTTTGAAACCATTTTCACCACACATCACCATTCGTATAAGGAGGTAACCCAAAGCTGAAAAGTAACATGCAATGTTACTTTGCATGTTCACTGTCAATGAATTCGTCTGCGTTTTTGATGACTGTATCTACCACTCACGTCGGCAGTGACGGATCACGCCAGACCACGTTGAACTGCCCTTATGACAACACAATGCCAGGGGCTCTGAGGCCC